AATCGTAATTAAACACGGGAAGCAGTAGTAACATAGAAGAGTAGCGAAAACGTTATAGGAAATATTGAAAATATAATTAAAATGATGGGCCAGTGCTAGATCATATAATAGGAAAACATGTAGTGACTTATGTACTTGGCCTCAATAATATGATATCAATACTTTTTGTTAGAGGAATTCACAGCAATCCTGTACTTGGCGTAGTTTTTTACACGTAAGTGTTTTTTGGGGGATAATATTTACTTGAATGAAGGGTAAATATACTTGAACTAAAAGAGTTTTATAGATTTAATATTTGTAAAGTCCTCATTTGATATCTTAAGGCAATCACTCAACTGATCTAGTGCGATACAATATATTGTATTATTAATTGTTCTAAATTTTTGTTTTCTATTTCAACAGGAACATAATAAATATTAGAATATATCTTTTATAACAAATATGATACTGTTACTATCTGCTAAATTCAAGTCTCTTTGTTGCACTTAATGGTATTGGCCATTGTGTATAGTGTTTTAATTATAAATTTCAGTTGTAAAGTATCATACATATTACCGGATGAATGACATATTAAATATCTTTGCCTAGTTATTGTTTGTAGAAATATTATACGAATAACAGTTTTTATATTGAAGTGAAGCAAGTAATTTATTGAAACATGAATATACTATTGCAAAATAATTTGTTGGAAATTATATTACACTATAACTCAAATATGTATTAATTTATTAATTTAAAATTATATTGCATGTTGTAACATATAATTTTACATGCATATTACATTGAATCAAATGAATAGTCAAGAAAGTAACATGTTCGAAGACTATAAATATTTAAAAATTACATTTTGATTGCGCTAAATATGTTATTTGTATAAACTTTCATTTTTTTTCTTCTCCTTTTTATAAATATTCTTCATTGCGTATTATTATTTGTTTTCATCTAATTTTTATTTACATATAAATCAGTTTTTTGTATTTCAAATTGCTAAAGATAATTCGAAGTTATTTTATATTTTGAGATGTAATCAACGAAATTTTGTATTGGCTATACCATTGGTTGCTTGTACTTGACACAAGTCTCAACTACGTGTTGTAATCAGTGCCATCTGTTATCTAAAAAAGTAGTTGGAGGTACGAAGACGATGACGATGACTGAACTGAATTGAAATCATCTCCTTTGCTATTTCAATATGCCATGATCTCGTACAGCAATTGTATAGATCTTGGTGCCGATCGATTCAGAACCTTCAATTCCTATAGTGAATGTATCAATAACTTTTCCTCATATATAGCGGTTCATAAGATATTTTATTCCAAACACAGGTATAAGGAGTTGACTCGAGTAAAGAGTCTCGGCGCGCTGCGCCCTGTACAGCCGGTTGCCTGTACTTGGCGCGAGACTCGACCGAGTCTCTTGATAAAGAGTTTCCATTAGATTTGACTTTAATGAATTCGAAGAAACTATTTATTCTTGGACGAACCCTGATTGAAATAATAATTAAAACGTTGAAGAAATCCAGAGAAAAAATTAAAAAAAAACGAAGGACAATCCACAAAACAGTAAAAAATTCGGAAGTTTGCTCTGCTTAATAGTAAGGGTACCGACATGTTAGGGAAGCTTGACGATTAAGTAGAACTTAATTATCAGGTTTCGAATGTGTAATGCGAATTATTAAAAAATCACATTATAGCACATATTTATTTTAGATATCTTCTCGTTGATATTATTTACATATAATGCATTTTTATATTAACCCTCGGATACGGAGCTTTTCAGATTTAAATGCTTGTCGGATACACATATGTGTCCATAGCAGTGAAACGGTTAATGATTCTATTTCGAGATGAGCAAGATAATTTGGACATGAAATTTTTGACACGCTACTGTTTTGACTAGGCATTCCTTAAATTATATAGAATAAAAATACTTAAAGGTTCTTCAAATTCCTCATGTTGATGTTACCCTGAAGAATATTTTTGTATGAGAATGAAGTCCAAGTTCTCCAAAGGATATCATGAAATCGGGATGATTCCACGTCGTTTAAATATTGTTTCATGTTCTTTGCTCGTGAGTGCGTAAAATCTTTTTCTTGGATCAATGGAAGGCAACGGTGGACACTACGTGTGAAAATGAACGTTAAGATTATTTGTCAATTCTTCGATCTCCAGATGGAATTAAAGTAAAACTTCAGTGCCTAAAATGACTGTGACTTATCGCACGAATAATTTGCATATCAAGGAAGAGTTACATACTCCAGAATAAGATCTTCTTTCTAATGCTTTTTCCATTTGATTATTCAATGTCTTTTCTCGATCTCCGTGATCCGGATGTGTTGATAACCATAATGGAATCTGCTGTGGTTCAACCTTGAGTTCAGTAAGGACTCTCATCATTCCCCAAAAAACAACAGCTTCGCGTACATCCACACATGCCTGAAAAATGAAAACGTTTTTTTTGTTATATTAGGATTGTTAATCATCGAGGAAAACACTTTTTATCCGACTACGGAGAGTAGGGTAATGTGGTTGGATGTAATTGAGTCTTATTTCAGTACTTTTGCACAGAGAATCAAGCCCACTTGATCAGCTTCATTTTCCAGGGCTCTACTATATGGTAGATGGTGAATTAGATCTATTACAGTTTGTCCCAAAAATTGAAAAATTATTGCTAATAAATCTGGAAAGAATGCCCAAATTATAGCAATTGGCAGAGCTAATAATAGATCCAATATTATGCCATTTGATAATTGTTCAATCTATAAGAAAAAAAGATGATGAATGTAAAAGATATTCTTTTTAATAATCATTAATAATTTTTTATTGTGTAAGTGTTGTGCTTACCGAGTGATCCAGGAGTGCATGTGCCATTTCATGAGACAAAATCACTGCCAATTGGTCTTCATTTTCTACTATCTCTAACATACCCAAAAATACGAAAATATTTCCTCCCTAAAAATATATTCTGAAGTAAAGGAGAGAATGTTTGTATAAGCAGTTTTTCATAGCAAAATTTATACTAACTGGTAAAACATAAGAGTTTTTCAGAGGGGAATTGACAACAGTTAAAGTCCATTGCTTGTCCTTTATAGATTCTAAATCCTTATTAGCATTTAGTATCTGTTCAGTAATTTTGATGAGTTTCTTGTATGTTGGATGATCCTTCGTTATCAAAGTATCTTTGAATGTTTCTAAATGCTGTATGATAGAATATAACATAATTAGTATAAACATTTCATAATAGAAGAACTCATTTTAAAACAGTGTCAAATGTACCATTTCAAAGATAATCTTAGATAGAGCTGCCTGTTGTTTCTTATCAAACATTATGAATCGGGATCGGTTCGTCAGTGGATCAGTTTGTATATGAGTGCCATAGTAAAGTACAAGTCCAAATAGAAAAGCACCCATAATTCCTTTAAATAGAAAATTCATAGTCACAATATGACTCTTCATGTTTTAAATCCTAAAACAGTATATCAACTTACCAAAGAATACCTGTTTCTTTCTAGAAAACCATCCACTATACTTGTGGCGTTCTTCTACAGACTGTTTAGCCCACCATTTTCTAAAGGCACGGCCAAACAAGAAAGCTCCAATACGAATCAATGGCCGTAGAATTAATGCAATAATAGGAGAAATATCACGTCTTGGTGTAGTTTGAAAATAATATTTTTGTTGCTTTATAATCTTGAATAATACTAAAGAGCTTTTAGACTCTACCACAGGAGATTTGATAACACTTTTATAAGCTTGGCAACGAATAATGCGTAATACAGCTATTCTTTGATATTGGTAACGCATAGGGCGTGCAACTCTTAAAACAGACATCATTTTTATATTATATTTTATCCTTTAGAAGGTAATACACTGAAAAGCATATTAGTGTTTGTACACAACACAAGAAAAAATAAAAGTTGAGCATGAATTGTCCATAAAATAATAGTCAAACACTATCGGTACAGGCTGCTAAAATGAGTAAATAAAATCCAATACGTGAATGAAACTGAAACATAATTCCTCCTGCTACACTGAACTTGATAGCAGAATAGAGCATTTTTTTAGTAAAAAAAATAGTAATAAGATGCAGCCAAATCGGTCGAACTCTTCTGTGAACAATTTGGCTCAAAGGTTCTTCTTGTACAGATTTTAGTCGGATCAGACTACCAGTTCTAATTTGTGTATGATATTGCCACGTCGTGTCCATTCGGTCGATAATAAGGATTGTTCTTTGCGATTACAGTGATGATATATGTCGTGGGAAGCTCACTTTATTACTGTAAGAATATAAATCATGTTGACACTAGACACATATGTATGTATACGCTCAAATGTAACATTCCTTACAATCTGCTGATTACGTATCCAAATACCATTTCATTGTAATAGCTCTTTTACAACTTGAAGTGGAAATATTTCTTATAATAAAAAAGCAATGAACGACACGATAGCTACTCGATAAAAATTACTAAAAACCTTGAATATCGTGCGAAGTGTAAGGTTACAAAGCACACCAGTAGGCAGATCAAGACAGATGTACGTATAGCGCTAAAGTATTTGGGTTTTTAGAGGAACTGACCATACGACGACTTCTTATGGTTCGACGTTTTCAGAGCGGTTGCTATTTGAGCATCTCTGAACAGCTGACATTGGCTGACATGTGTCAAAAATGGGCATGTCGGCACCGTCGGCACAAAGTTGCATTGAACCGCTAAAAGATGTGATCAACCTTCAAGTTCTTCAATGAGAAATCTGCTTATCGATCAGAATTAATGAGGTTGCAACTCATGATTATTTCAAAAGCCTTGGGTCACACTGCAATAGGTAAGACCCAGGGTCATATACATATATGTATCTACCACCTATATTAAGCTACCCGGTTAATATTTATCAAAGAATAGAATTCTTTTAAGTAGCAAAATGGGATGATTCGCATCACTGAAACTGTTGGCATAATTATTAGCAGTTAATGCCGCGAGTTACTGAAGGCTGTTGTGGGCTGCTGCCATCAGTTGCCATTCACATACTGAACCATACTGAACTGTACTGAACCATTCCGATCGTAATGGCGAACAACTCCGGACGGAGCAGCTTCGCTACTTCTGGGGGTCCGTATTGCGCATATGCTTGTGTGTGTACTGTGTGTCCATCATGAGTCAGAAGCCACGGTCGCTTTGCGTTTCGTAATTAATTTCCCTCCCGAAGGAAAAATGCGAGCTTGATCTCGCAGTTTTGGCTGCTGTCTTTTTCCGGGGACGCTCATCTAGTAAAGATGGGCATCGGGCCCCGAATTCGAGACCCGATCATCCCTCGATTCGCATATTTCTTAACCACCGTGTGTGCTTAATGTTGTGTGTTTGTCGCTCGCTCTGTGTTGCCGTCAGGTTCCCTCTTCCTTATCGTTCCTTCGGAATTTACAGGTAATGTCAATTCATAAGATACAATAAGCTCTAGTGCAAAATGCGGGCGGGGCTAAATTTTTATTGTGAGACATACATATTGGAATATTATGGACACAGAGTGATTAACTTGGAGACGATTTTTATTCGCGCGGATCTCCTATCTAATTTGATTTATGTCTTGTTTGGATTCAAATGATAAAGATTAAGTACTACCCTTGCTTGTTAGAAGAAATTCAAAGTGCTATATAAGTAATTCCCATCGCCAGCGACAATTATGACTATTCTAATTGCGTTTTATTGCTATATTTAGTTTTGTTAATGATTAATTTAATTTTGTGGTTTCTCATGTTATCAATTAACAGCTTATGTATGATATTGAACAATTGGGAAGCTTAAGACATGGATCAAGCAAGAAACAGACCGAGCCGACCACGACTTCGTTCGCATGGTAATTCAGCCCGAGTCCTTGTATTTGATCAACCTGAATCCGAAGAAACTCCATGCAATATGGATGGGGAAGTTATAAGGCATCCTTTGCCACCCAAAGTTGAAAGCAAGGAAGCTCCTGTTCGACCTGGTTATTATCACATATTTCTTCATTGTTATATATTAAGAACTGTTATACTTTCTTTTGTCAATAATTTTAGTTAGTGGTGAGCTCTCAAACTTGGTACGCATGCGAAACTCTGCTATAGGAAAATCTGCACCATCTCTTTCTGTTCATATGGTTCGTACATGCTAATTGCAATAAATATTACTTTTCCAGCAAATCGATAATCTTCAAAGTTGTTTTTAAGAAAAACTTTCTTTTTTGTATAGCGCGATTTTAATATTCCACGACGCGCAGCCAAAGCAGCCCACCGTAAATCTTTCATAGCAACGACCTCACCTACATTACCCCGGTGTCACTCACCTTTATCTGGTAAGGTTACAGCATGTATATTTAAAACAATTTTTGATCATTACATTTTTAATTCCTATAGTTGGATAGTCTCTTTTCTATCTTGATAGTCAAAGAATTTTTATATTATATATCTTCAGGTAATAGATGACATTATGCAAGCACTTTGGCAAGACTTTTCTATTTGTGAATACAAATGTATGCTAATAGCTTTGGTCATGATATTATTAAATGCATTAGCAAGCTTTAAATGTAATTTAACTTTAGGTTTCTGTACACAATAATAAGGTTGTCCATCTTGATCATACCATTAAAAAGATACTAAATCCTTCGTGACTTAACATTATCGCTATAATAAAACTTGTCAAAACTATGTTATACTTTTAATAGTTCATACAATATACAATAATAGTTATTAATAAATAGTCTATTAATTTCTCTATGCTTGTTTCCCAATATAGCGTTCGTACCGATCGTAGGCAGTCCCCTAGAGAGTCCTAGGATGTCATCCAGTCCGCATTTCGCTTTTGCTCCAATTAAAAGGTATCCACTTCACTGATTTTCTTATTCCGTTTCTGTATCATAGTTACTATTACAGACTAGATTAGATAAATAGATAAAAGATAGTAAAGCAAATATTACACTAATGTTTTATATTATGTTTTTTATATATAAAGGATCGGTGGAGGTGGTACTGCGACAGCTGACGGCAGACGTTGGTCCGTGGCTAGTTTACCGTCCAGTGGATATGGTACGACACCTGGATCAAGTAACGTCTCAGTATGTATGATCATCATAATGTAGTCAAGTGTCTAGACCTTCCTATTAATAATATCTTCAATCTATGCAACCTTAGTCGCAATGCTCGAGTCAAGAGCGATTGCACCAACTGCCAAATGTTCCAACCAAGGACGAGTTACGAATGTTGTCTTGTCATTTCTCAAAACCTGGTACACCCTGCACGTCGCATCCAGGATTTCCTGGATCCAGTATATCCAGCATACCAGGATGCGTCTCTCTCAGTCTTGAGGAAGAAGGTCGCAGGTCGCCCCTTCATCGTCCACGCTCCCGAAGTTTAAGGTCAAGTTCTAATACTCCGCAAATACTTTTGGACCACTGAAGACTAAGTTGATTTTTCATTTGCAGTAGTCCCAGTCGATCGCCTGTATTGGACAGTGAAATTGTTATGATGAACACCCTTTACAAGGAACGATTTCCTAAGGTACGCTTTGCTTTTAGTGAATGCATTGTATTATGTTGGGTGAAAATAGGTTTAAAGTCTCAAATTCAGGAGAGAATTCTTTATCTTATATTGAATTGGATTAGAATGTGATGTCGCGCGCAGAATGAGTAGTGTATTAGCTATGTAAAAATGTGCATTGTCTGCCGCTTTGAAATGATAGTCTGAAAACTCCTGATGGAAATACAATATGCGACTTAACTGAAAACAACTCTTGGCCCTTGGCCAGAGTTTTAGAATTGAGATGAAAAATTCCCAAGATTCATTCGAAAATAACACTCACAGCTGACGTGGGAGCTGGACTTTTTGTTACGTTTCTCTCATCCACTTTTGCGAGGTCATGTGGTCTGGCCTAAATACCGCAAGTGCAACAACCCAGGAAATTCTTCGCTAACGAAGTTTTCCTCTTTTCAAATCTTCTCAAATTCCAGAATGTTTGCCACGATTTTGCCTATTCTTTATTCAAATGAATGACAACTTCCGTTTGACAGGCTACGCAACAGATGGAAGAGCGTCTAACGAATTTCATTAATGAAAACAAAGAAATTGACGAATACGAGGTGGTCACACAAATGGCACAGGATTCCTTACCAATCCTACGATTTGTACATCATCAAGTAATTGAGATGGCGCGAGATTGCTTACAAAAATCCCAGGAGAAGTTGATAACCTCTAGATACTTTTACGAAATGAGCGAGAATCTTGAGCATCTTTTAATTGAGGTCAGTATCATCCACATCGTGTGTATCGTAGACGTTTGCGAGAATGTGGATTACAATGTCAGGAATTCTTCTATGTACAATTTTCTAGACAAAAGACAAGTCGTTGGAAGCGGCGACTCGTCTAACTGGACTCATTAAGAAACTATTGTTAGTTATATCACGACCAGCGCGTCTTCTGGAATGCTTGGAATTCGATCCGGAAGAATTCTACCATTTGCTGGAACAGGCCGAGGGTCAGGCCAAATTTAATGCCGGTATTAAAGCCGATATTCCGCAGTATATTATCAATAAGTTATCTCTAAACAGAGATCCTATTTCCGGTAAGTTCTATAAACCGTCAATACGCTGGGCCCGAATTTTTCATGAGGACATGTGTCTTCCTCAGAATTGCAAGAGGATTTGAACAAGCTGGAGGATTCGACCAGCTCGAGCGATAGCAATTTGCAGCTGGCTTCTTCGAGTCCCAATAAGGATGATGATAATAAATCACAACGAGTTCCTTGCGAGAATGATTATGAAGTTCTGAAACTTATCAGTAATGGGGCTTATGGTGCTGTTTATTTGGTGAAGGAAAAAACTACTCGGCAACGTTTTGCTATGAAAAAGATTAACAAGAATAATCTTATGCTACGCAATCAAGTGGAGCAGGTCTTTGCAGAACGCGACATAATGAGCTTCACCGACAACCCTTTTGTAGTTTCCATGTATTGTAGCTTTGAGACTAAGGTATTTACTAGTGCCAAAGGTCTTGATTTACATTCATATCTTCAATCTTAGGAGGGAAAGTATTTAATTTATGTCTTTAATTTAATAATTCACATACAGAAACATCTGTGTCTAGTGATGGAATATGTTGAAGGTGGTGATTGTGCCATTCTCCTAAAGAATATCGGTCCACTTCCGCCGGATATGGCACGATTTTACTTTGCAGAAACAGTTCTAGCTGTAGAATATCTCCACAGCTATGGTATCGTTCATCGCGATCTGAAACCTGATAAGTACGAAAACTATTGGTACTTCTACATAGCTACTTGCGTAGATACATATAAACTTTTCAAGCGAACGATCAAATTTATTACCATTGTTTATTCCAGTTTACTTATAACTGCCTTGGGCCACATAAAACTCACGGACTTTGGTCTCAGTAAAATGGGACTCATGTCTTGTAAGTCTTATTAATTTAGTGTCCAGGATGTCCTGATACATAGTTCATCACTGTTCTTTATTTTTCAGTGGCGACAAACCTTTACGAGGGATATATTGATAGAGATACTAGACAATTTTCCGATAAGCAAGTTTTTGGCACGCCTGAATATATTGCTCCGGAAGTGATATTACGTCAAGGTTATGGAAAACCTGTTGATTGGTGGTCCATGGGAATAATTCTTTACGAATTCTTGATAGGTTGCGTTCCATTCTTCGGCGATACCCCAGAAGAATTGTTTGCCCATACAGTTAACGGTACATTCTTCTTATGAAAAAATTATTTTCTAGCACAATATCTTCGAAGGCAATACTCAATTAGAATTTTGTATTTGTTAGATGACATTGAATGGCCGGACGAAGATGACTGGCCTGTACAACTCGAGGCTAAGGATATTATAACAGCCTTATTACAACAAAGTCCTAGAGATCGCTTAGGAACTGGTGGTTCCCACGAGGTGAAGGATCATCCCTACTTCTACGGTGTCAATTGGAATAGTCTCCTCAGACAAAAGGCTGAGTTTGTTCCTCAGTTGACTAATGAGGAAGACACTAGCTACTTTGACAGTAAGTTGCCAACGGGATTGATTCTGTGGATGATTATTTATTTCTTATAATGACGATTAATGTTGCAGCACGAATGGACCGATACAATCATGACCTAGGTGATGATACTGATGATACCGACGATTCTCCATTGTTCGGATCATTTTCTTCATATTCACCACAATCGCGTAAAATATCTCAAACGCGTCCACCGCAGCTCAATCCAGAATCCGATTTGGATTTCTCGAAGAAGCAATTATTCCGCAATGAGCTTGAGCGCCACGTAGCTCAACTGTCTCCAAGCTCAAATCATTCGGCGTCGCCGCCGTTCAAGTCGTTTGAGAAAAATCCACCGTCTGAGAAGAATAGGTCGCTGCATACTGCCAAAACCGTTAGTCCCTTCGTTGAGAATTCGGAAAAAGCACAGAAATCCGACCTATCATCTAGCAGTCCAGTAACAATAACTAGCAACGAATCACAATCGACCGTCGTGAAAAATACAAGAGGAGCTGACGGAACGGCAATTAATCTAAGCACGCCGGATTCCTCGCAAACGGAATCGGATGACATCAGTCCGCACATTCAAAGGAAACGACACGTGCATTCTCGCGACAAGCTGCCCAGGTTCAGTATATCCATTGATGGTGAACACATGTGAGTCAAGTAGCCGAATTGGCAACAAATTTTATTTTCGATATTAGTTTACACGATCTGGCCTTATGGTTACTATTATCTATGTCCACACACACTTCTTCTGCGTATCGTTTGTCTTACTGTTGCACATATATGCACAACATTTATAACAACGCTATAAATATGTTCTTGGCATCATATGGAAAACATGTTAACATGATAGTTAAATATCTGCACTGTTTTTAACACCATTTTTTGGTTTGTCTTCAGGCTGGATTTAGCAGCTGCTAATAGGGATATTGCTGAAGATAAACACAACTCCAGTACGGATTCATTTGACTCCTTTACTGCGATGCCTGTATTGCCTACATCGAAACAGCGTTCACGTTCTGTTATTAAATCTGCATCAACCAGTGGACTGTCACTGGTCATTCCGACCAGTGAGTTTTCTTGTATGTGTTTTCATCGTGTGAAGTATCATTATGATTTTCTTTTTCCGAATTCCTAGTGTTAATTGGTTTTACATTTTTTCGGTAATCAAAATCGTGACTGAAGATGTGTTTTGTGTTTCTTAGATGATTCTCCCTTGGCCGGACAACCCATCGAGTCACCAGGTGGATCATCCACAGCATCTTCAAGAGATACCTCACCCTGTCGTGAACTAAGTCCTCTGGTAACCAGTCTTAAACCACCTATTATCATCCGTAGAGGTCCATGTGGTTTTGGATTTACTGTGCACACAATCAGAGTTTACTATGGCGACAGTGATTTTTATACCATGCATCATCTTGTCATGGTAGGATTAAATATATGAAGTTTATCATTCTTTTACCAATATCCATATGTCGTTATAAATAATAATCTCATGTTATAGGCTGTCGATCAATCCAGTCCGGCATTCGAAGCTGGTTTGAGACCCGGGGATTTGATCACTCACATAAATGGCGAACCTGTTCAGGGTCTATATCATACTCAAGTCCTGCAGTTGATGCTGAGTGGTGGTGATCATGTAACTTTACGTAGTACACCCTTGGAAAATACCAGTATCAAGACTGGTGGGCGTAAACGAGAACTGGCTCAAAGTAAAATGGCGCGTAGAACATTGCACAGGCAACGGAAGCAGAAAAGGGATCATTCAGACAAGAAAAGAAAGACGTCCCTCTTCAGAAGGATCAGTTCGAAGAGAGCGAGTGTCGAGATGCAGCAGGTAGGTGCATTAAATTGTGCAGCAGTCTACGTCAAACACATCTCTTACAAATGGTTCTCGTAAATACGACACTTTTTATTTTTCAACTAAGTTCCACCATTTGTGTTTCATTGCAGCCATTAAGTATCAATTGTCCATTGTCGGCACCCATTCTACCCAGTGACAGCAAACCTCCACTTATGGTATGATTTCCTGTATATATTATTTTCTCAATTATTAATCCGTTCTCTGTGGTTGATCTACTGTAATTTTCATAATATCACAACACACGCAATTTTTATTTAAAAAGAGAAACGAGACGTTCTTGAAGTTAAACAAAATAAGTGACTCAAATAAAATTGATTACTTTCTGTTTCTTTTTTGTTAAGATGGCTGCAGGAATTTGTTCTCCATCGATGGTCACTCCAAGTCGTTCCTTCCAATCGTTTACGCGTTCTTTACCAGCGCAACAGGAATCTTCGCCATATTTTGGAGCTTGTGCCAAATCCGTATGCAGTCCATCTCCGCCGACGAATCGTCCGACTTCCGATACGTATCATTCAACCGGCAATTCAAGTCCATGTTCCAGTCCAAATTCCTCATCGCCAGGATCCAGTACGTCCATTGGAACCATGTCCAGTATCTCAAATCAATCTCATTATCAGCGACCTAGTACGCTCCATGGCTTGAAGCATAAGTTACACACAGCCGCGAAAAATATTCATTCGCCTAATAGAAGAAAGTCTGTGGGTCATATTCCACTGTCTCCTTTGGCGAGGACACCCAGTCCTTCTCCTATACCAGCATCCCCTACGAGGAGTCCAAGCCCTTTGGCGTTCCCAACTGGACATCAACCTGGGAGTTCGAATACTACACAATCCTACAGTCCAGGTAAATGTGAATAGTATGAAATAGCACAACAGATTACCTTTATGACACTTATCTTGTCTATTATATGATCTCAGGCGTATCCTTGTCAACTCCTAACACTCAGAAGAAAGGTTATGGACGTCCAAAATCAGCTGAACCAGGATCACCCCTACTAAGACGAGCATTAAGTCCTGACAGACTTCATCCTCGTTCAGCCGAAAGTAAAACCTCTATATCACCACTAGCAAATTCCGTGGTGAAAGTAACACCGCGTGTCACGATTGCACAAACCTTTCATACAGAGAGTACAGATGAAAATACTGATTCCGTGAGTAAGGAGAGTAATGATTCAAAATCTGAGAAGAAATCCTCGAATTCCGAGCAAAAAGTTGGTACGGCCGACTATTCCAAGCTAGCTCATGGTATATCAATCAACATAGCAAACGTGGGAATGTCTAATTCTTGTGGTAGCACGCAGTTGCCAAGGATAGCCGAGGAGAAAGATTCTCCAACAGGAAGTAAAAGTGATGACTACTCGGCTAAGGAAGTTGTAGCTTCCCCGGAAAAGAGCAACGTGGAACTTTCGGCCTCAAAGTCATCAGACGAAGCTGAAAAATGTGTGAAGAATAACGAGAATACAACTTCCAAGGATATTCATGTGGAACATGCTGAAAGTAGAGAAATTAATCATTCATCATCGTCTTCCGATTTATCTAAGAAGAACGATGCGAAGTTATCGGGTAGTGACGTGCAGGCCCAGCGCAGTGTCTTCAGCTGGACGCCTCTACCAGTACCACGTAAGAACGTTCAGCCTGAATTCAATGCTCCTAGCTTTCCAAGTAAATCAAGTGCGTCCGACTTGAAGGGCATCTTCGGGAATGGTCCCTCGGACAGTGGCGTGGAATGTAGGAAGATTTTGAAGAGGTACAAAGCGGATAGTTTGGACAGTCCAAATGTCGGGCATTCAACGCGCTCGGACGTGCCCGAGAAGAACTCAGGAAGCGACGACAAGAAGAACAACTGAATTTTTCAAGCGTTGTTTCCATTTGTGATCTTTATTCTCGTACGTCTTTTTACAAATTTTAACTGTAATTTTTATTACGAAACAATATCAAATGTGACACGACGCTCCATAAGATGCTTTGTAGCGCAAGGGCAGACGCGAAGGAAACGTTAATTGACAGCACAATCATCTGGATGTCATAAGGATGAGGCCCTTTTAGGCGTTACAGTGATATATACAAGAAACGAATCAAAAGTTCTTAACTTTCGGTTCGTCGATGTTTTCATTAACTTACACTAGGAATCTCTGAACATAAGCGCAGTTAGAATTCCCCACGTTATTCGGAAGGGACGCATCGGATGCGATCCTGCTTGAACTCTTATTCATTAGTATCTATAATATCCACAATTCGAGTAGCTAATAACCCGAGATATATTCTTTTTGCATTGCTGTATATATATTATCAAAGCATGCACATAGAATCTAAAATAAATTTTCAACATGCTACCGGCGCACTTACAATAATGAATGGCCACGTTCAAGCTCAGCTCCCTCTTCATAAATTCATTCGCAATCTTTAAGCCGACATATTGCTTCTGCACGATTTTTTTGCTTTCAATGCGTCTCGATAAAATGGACCTGCCAATTTGCTCTTGAAAGTTTCAAGTGTTTCGTCTCGAATTCGCATGTCAATAAGAGGATACGGAGAGGGCGAGAGAATGAGCGCCATATTATATTTCTCTTGGGAAAGAACAGAAAAGCTACTCGAGTGTTCTATCGCTTCGGGCTACAGTATTCACGCGATCTCATGCAATGACGAGGCATCGAGTCTTTCTTTAATTTTCTTTTTCTTCCTAGTATCGACAAGTCATTAATTAATTTATTGCGTATACGTTTGTTACGGGCCGTGCGACGATATAATAATATTAAAAATGACGAACGCGGTGTCGCCCGTGTTGCTCATTTGAATATACATATGCCAGGCGTTTACGATCATTACGATTATAAGGATTGAGGGTAGAATTAGAGCGAGATGAAATTAGGCTGAGAGTATAAAAAAAGGTTATTTGGTCAAAAGATTATAAAAGACGGTAGATTATAACAATTAGTATATTAATTGATTGATAATCGAGGCGTGCTCCTCCAGCGCAACTATGACTCGTATTTCCAAACCCTGTGCTAAAGGAAATCTGGGCTCACGAAGAAGCCATCCTTTTAGTGCGTTAACCCGAACAAAGTGATGCTATCGTTTAAGCATAAAAAGAATAATCTTACTTAGGAAACTGTTAAACATTAAGTTTAGTCGTTGCGTTCCTTGTCTCGTTTGTACATTTCTCCGCTCTGTATATGTTGAAGACGATTCGTTGATATTAATGATAAAGAAACGGCCCTTGGCTTCTCGACGTCAGAGAGACGTCTCTATTATAGCAGAAAGCTTTAAGGAAATTTTTTACGTAACGCTATGCCAGAACATTAAGCTGCTCCTGGTTCCTTTCTCGAATCGCGAACGATAATCGCCTCTGGAATTACAATTTTGATGAAAAAATAACATAAGTTTCCGAAACGCTGGATGTTTCTTTATTAATTTCATTTCGTGAGTTACGTAATTGTATAATTAAAAAATTTAGTCGTTTCCGTCATCACTGTTCGCATAGCTGTACCGTATTGTAGTCAAGTTGCTCGTTTGACTTTATGGGAAAGCGAATGATTGTTGTTACTTCATTTTCGAATTACTTAAGGTTGTTTCTACGCGTTATTACTACGTTATAGCGGTAGAATCTAAATATATATATATACACTGATACATAAAAGAAAAATCGAATACGCGGAGGATCATAAAATCACTCTGGCGTTTCTCTCATACGTATATATATATATATTATTGCGTGTATATGTATGTATACATACACAGAGTAGGGTTTATTCTGTGTATATATATATTTATATATCTCTGTCCGTGTGTGTGAGTGTGTGTGTGTGTGTGCGCGCGCGCGTTTAGTTTTCTCGTTTTTAATGACTCTCGATAATCGTATTAGATACGACGATACGCCACGAGCTCATTAACGCCATATAAGAGTTCATTCTATTGAAGATAAAGCGAAAGATGAATGGAGGAAAACAGAAGGAGAGAAAGAGAGAGAAAGACAAGAGGAATTGTGAAGTTTATGAAAAAAAGAATCAGGGCTCAAATAACCTTCTGGTGGGCGCTATTATAGCTAAGGAAAAGGAAGGGAAAAAGGCGAACTTTTATATAGCCTAGAAGATGCTATAAAAATTTTCGAAATCACGTTATCGCAGAAAGATGTTATAACGAATTGTTATTGTAATCCTATTGTCAGCATCGTGTCTTGCGCCATATTGTTAATCGCCAAGCGCAATACCATCCCTTCAATATGATCCTAGCGCCTAAACTATTATTAGATGAATAGATGGAAATTTTATTGATGATTCCTTGTCATTAGATTTCTCATTGCATTCGTAATCTTTCACGATTCTCTATAGCTTTCCCTCCCATTCTCCATATATACTTGATCAGTACGATCCGTTGTCTCGAGATAACTACGGAAATCAAATTTTCGCACAAGATTTCTCTCAAAAATCTATTTTCATTGTTAATTAAGCGTGTCTCGTTGTTTTTTTCGAATTTAATTTTGTAAATTTGTACAATTTTAATTCTAGGTCAATGACATTCGTTTATCGTAGCTAAGTTCTTGAGATAAAATTGATTGTCATTGCCGAATCCATGTACCTACTCAGTTTTATCGTTTTTTTTTATGCTTTGGAATTTTTCTTTTGGTTTTCGAAGCTGCGAGGCGAGATTCTTTTTCATTTTCTCTTTTCACCATACTCGATTGTGTATTCGATCCTTTACGCATCCGTAATAATTATTAAGGATCGATACACTAACAGACAACGCGTATAGCATAGTAATTGTAAGATTAATAATTCCAAGACCGCGAGCGAATGGAATTAGCGACGATCAAGCTGAAATTTTTGTATGTAGATTAGAATTTAACGATACGATCGTTGTCTGGATGCTTAGAGGCAGATGCCGGTTTACTTGATCACGAGTGAACTGACAATTGATATTTATTGATAGAAAACGACACGTATTTACTGATTACACGTCTTAATGTTACTATTAAGAAGATATTCATTGATGAAACGGATAACAGAACTGAAATAAAAAGAGATCGACGGAGCCCGCCATGTATATCGTTAATTCTTTTCTTTTGATTTCTTAAAACTTATATGCCTTTTTATCATTTAATCATAGAATTAAACATCTTTTAAATAAAATGGCGTGCAATCATGCCAACGTGACTCTGTAGAGGTAATAGAATTCTTTATTAAACCTCTCTGTATTTCATATACGTTTTCAACGAGTAATGATCTACTGCCAGTAATCTACAATGAGAGGTATAGAAGACCTGAAAGTGAAAACTCACATTAGATGCAAATGGAAACTTTAATGTCAGCATCTCATAGAGGATGATACCCATACTCCATATGTCACACTTGTAACCGTAACGGTGTCCTCGCAGCACTTCCGGCGCCATGTAAATCCTCAAAATCAAAATTTCGAATGTATACATACAATACACCGTTGCCTTTCAGGTCGTACTTCGAACTATAGATTATATATAAACATGAGGGAAATCAGTTAATTCTTCATCAGTTTGTAAAATTTCGGGACAGAAGAAACATCGTTTTTCGGCATGAGAACCAGTGATTTCATTTTTAAAGAAAAGCTTGGTACTGGTGCCTTTGGGTAAGGGACTTTTAATTTAATGAAAATTGATGACTTGATATTATTTTTGATTTGCACAGTGCTTGCTATCTGGCAACGTACAAGCCAAACCAACGCTGGTACGTTATCAAAAAACAGAGTATGGAACATGTGGAGGTGAGAATCTAAAGAAAATTTGATCCTCCTCTTTTGTGAAAGTATCGCGGATTAATGAAGTCTTTCTTTCAGATCGTTATGAACGAAGTTAAATTATTGAGCAAGATGGAACATACTAATATAATAACTTATTACGGTTCGTGGATTGAGAATAATAAATGTTTTATTTTAATGGAATACGCCACCAAGGGAACTCTCTATAATCTTTTATCACGACGTCAACATCCACTTCAACAGCGGGCAAGTATCTCCGTGACATCAATGTCTATATATTATTTCTCAAGAGATGCTCATTCTTGTGCAACAATTAAAACCCAGTATTTCTTTCCGATTAGGATGCACTTTATCTCTTCGCGCAAATCACACTAGGCGTCCATCATATCCACAAGCAGAACGTTCTACATCGTGATTTGAAACCTGGCAACATAATGCTCACAGGTCAAAATGCGGATGTGATAAAGATAGGTGACTTTGGCATTTCCAAACGCATAAATAGGTACAACAATTCTTTCCAAGATACAGAGTTTCCAAGTATAAGCTGACAAGTCTATAATATGAGATTTCTCTCGAGCGTTGCAGGGAGGACGCTCAAACGCGAGTTGGCACGAGGATGTACATGGCACCGGAAGTGCTGCGAGGACACCGTTACGGTTACAAGTGTGACATATGGAGTATGGGTATCATCCTCTATGAGATGCTGACATTAAAGTTTCCATTTGCATCTAATGTGAGTTTTCACTTTCAGGTCTTCTATACCTCTCATTGTAGATTACTGGCAGTAGATCATTACTCGTTGAAAACGTATATGAAATACAGAGAGGTTTAATAAAGAATTCTATTACCTCTACAGAGTCACGTTGGCATGATTACACGAATTCTCGAGATGAAGCCAAGCAAGCTACCAGCGACTGTTTCCGAGGACTGCGTTAGAATGCTGTCGAAGATGCTGCAAAAAGATCCTCAAGATAGACCCCCGTCCAGATATTTAGTACTGTGTCCGCTGCTTCTACATTCTATCAGCAAAGTTTATTTGAATGTCGGCAGGGTCGACAGAGCGCAATGCTAAACGTCAAAATTGGCAAATGATGGATGACAGTGATTACAGAGAATTTTAAAATTTGATTTAAAAAATTTTTAATTTTATGATTGGATTATAAAAAAGTATATAAGTTTTAAGAATTCAAAAAATTAACGATATACGTTGCGGACTCCTATCCTATCAATGAATATCTTCTTAATAGTAACATTAAGACGTGTAATCAGTAAATACGTGTCGTTTTCTATCAATAAATATCAATTGTCAGTTCACTCGTGATTAAGTAAATCGGAATCTGCCTTTAAACATTCAGATAACGATCGTATCGTTAATATAAATCAATAAAGATTTATATATATATATTTCATGAAAAGCGCCTGAAGACCTGCGACCCGACCTCTAGTGTTTCTGTCAAAGAGCGTGAGGCCTATACACGTTTCAGAAAAGTTATCGAGGGTGACTGTACCCGACGCAGCATCCGCTATAGAAATTCTTCAGTGGGCACAAGCAAGCTCAAGGGAGCAGCGAACGACGGCAGCTGAATAGCCGATTGCGTGTCGGCAGTGTCGGCAGTGTCGGCAGTAAAGTCGTAACGGCCGTTCGAGCACGTAGGCCAAGAATGCATCGCCTTCTCCCAGTTCTTCTCATAGGAGCATTATTCTGCACGGCGAGTGATCTGGACAATGAAATAATCTCCGAGAAGGAGAACGCAGAGAGGCCAGAAGAATCACCATTCGATATAAGTAGGAATTCAACGATAGCAGAGATCTTCGATAATGCAGTCAAAGCTTATCTTGACGAAGACTGGGATGAATGTATTATTGGCTTCGAAACAGCGCTTGACAGGTATTTCGTTACGTTCCTAATATTAGTATAACGAATTAATAAACTAATTGTAATAGGTGATACAATAATAAATAACATTACAGATACAAAAAGTACAGAGCACAAGTGATAAAGTGCCGGCAAAAATGTAAAGAGGAAGCCAGAGGTTCAGCGCCATTATTTCCCGAGAATATAGAGGATTTGCATTTCTATGAGAAAAAGATAAGAGAGACTCTCTGTCTATTGATATGTAATCAAGATTATCGCGATGTTGCTGGTTCCGTAGCTCTGAAGCGACTGCCCTTTCATACTGAGAAGAAATTTGTGGAACGACGTCCTTACGAGTATCTTCACATCTGTTACTATCAGGTAGTAATCCAATTAATTGATCTTCGTTACGTTTCCAAGTGGCTTCGCATTCATCTTCTTGGATCACGTGACACGTATTCCTGATGTAAATCGCAGGGTGATTGTATTGTGTATTACGTCATGGTTGAACCCACGCTCTTCCCATATGACTCTCTGGTAGTAAATAACGAGTTTAACGGCATCTCCCATTTTCATCGACTCTTAAACGACCCACATGTCTACGTTCATACACGTACGATCAATTTCATTAATTCAGCTGACAAGTTATGAGGCCACTTGGTATAGGAATATTTTTTAATATATATTATATTTGTAAACGCGAATGACTATACCTTCTGTCAAAAGATTTTCCCGCAGTGAAATCAATTGAATATAGTATAGAAAAGTTTGATGAGTTTGGTAGGTACGTTAGGCTGAATCATATGTGTAACTTTTTAAATATTTCTATAGTCTGAACGAGTTGACGAAAGATATTGTCAATGTCTTTGAACCGTAACGCTTGCTCGTGTGGTAATGACTGTGATAATACATTATCACTTATACGTGAATTCACGAGACTGTGACCCTGACCGATTTAATAACCGATAATGGCTGTGGAAATAATTTTTTTTGTTTTTTTCTTTTTTTAAGAAAAATCGATACCAAGCAGCCGCCAATGCTATCTATACCTTCTTGGTGATCCATTCTAGTCATGAAATGAGTATAAAAAATTTACGTTACTACCTAACATTGCCGGAGGTTAAAGAAAATGACGTGATAAATCTGGAAAATGAGCCTCATATAGAAATGTATATAAAGGGTATGATGGCCTATGACACGGAAGATTATACGGAAGCAGTTGGACTTTTTGAAAATTCTTTGAGGGCCTACATCAAATCTGAAGAAGACTGTAGAATCTACTGCGAAGGTCCCTTCGATCAAGGATGGCATCCTGAGTTCACGTCATCCGTTTCCAGTGAGTATCCAAGCACGTAGACCACGTAGCGATAAGATGACTTTATCTTTTTTAAACTTATTATAAGAATTCATTGCACGGAATAGATTTTTCATAAAAATATCTCATTTTCTTTTCCTACCAGATCATTTCGCTTATTGTCTAAAGTGCAAGCGAGGCTGCTCCATTGCACTGAATAATCTTAATGGAAATTATCATAATGATCTTCTGGCCAACCACTATCATTATTTGCAATTTGCTTATTATAAACGTGAGTACATCAGATAACAGATTATGAATCATATAAGTGTAACACTTGACTAAACTTCCTATTCTATGTACAATATTTAAATTGCTGCACAATGAAGTTGGGAACTTGAAGGAAGCCTGCGCTGCCGTTGAAAGTTATCTTTTATTTATTCCGGCGGATGAGACGATGCTCCAGAATCGGGATTATTATTCTGCTCTGCCAAAAGTGGAGAAGGATGACTTCAAGCCGAGAGAAGTACGATTGACATTCAGTGTGCTAAACTGGACTCGCACATGTTTTTGAAGTGCGTATCCATATTTTTTAGGAAGCACTGGAGTACGTGAAACGTCAAGAATATGAATTGCGACTGCTGCAATTCATTGCACAGGAATTTGAGGTACTGGAAGCGAAATTCGACATTTCCGGTACGAAGTGGAGATCGAAGAAATCAAAGAAGAAAGCCGAATCAACAGTAGACACTGAAATGTCTCAGGTAAAGAAAGAAAACTAGGTTTTCGGATAAGACAATTATATAAAAATTGTCCAAGCCGAATTGCTCGTCAATTTTCGGGGCACAATGGTATGAAATTTTGAAAATATTTTGCTGCTTTCTGTTCAAAGGCGGATGCACGCCTTCTCCTCCGTATCGGATATCAAGCTTAATAAGGAGAAATAGGGCTCGGTAGACGTTAATCATATACGTAACTGACTTCTATCTATAAGCTTTTTAACCTGCTATTTTTTTCCTCTTTTCTGTATTGTCTGCTGTAACAAGTGTAATAAACACATTCTATGTTTCCAAAAACCTTACGCACGTCATCATAGCGGTCTGGTTGTCATTTCTGAGAAAAAAGGAAACATGTAAACGTATCAGTATCAGTGTAAACTGTGGAACGTGCACATGCATCCTTGCTTCAGTTTACCGCCAAGTACAATCGTATCAAAAAGTTTATAAAATGAATGCTAGCTCGTTTCTGTTCGAACGCCTTCCAGAATGCAACCCAATAAGCACCGATGCATCCGGTGCATCCAATGCATAATGCCGAAGCGATAAGACTCGTTGTTTCAGAATACCAGTTACTTAAGCAGTATTCATTCACCACCGGGGCAGTCACGATCGACGATGCTCCTCTTGACGAACAGGACGAGGATGACGAACGAGGAGAATCAGCAGGAACGGAAAGAGCGCAAAAGCCGTGCTGCAAAACAGTTGAAGGCCATCAGTGGGATTCGAATTGTCGCTGGAGAAGAGGAACTTGGTGGAAAGTTACGTTACGTCGCTGACGGTTTCCTTAACAAAACGGAATGCAATCTTTTGCTGCAGCTCGCTCAGGTAAACGAAGATCGACTGGGATAAAATGTTCCCACGACGTACCGAGTCTTTATTCAGTGTTCCGGGAGTCCTAGATCGGCGCCGTGGAAGGTGACGGCTATGAGGAAAATAAGAGTCCGCACTCGAAATTCGAAGTGTTCGAGGGTGTGACACTTGGCAGGGCGGCCTTGGTGAGCTCATAAAACTGTATTGAAAATATATTACACTATTTCTCATTGTTGTGTCTACGTGACAGATGGTGTATTTCGGCCTGGTCGAACCCGAATTACTGGATCTTGTTTTAAGATCAACAGAAGCTGCCAGAGATCACTTAGAAAGGTACCTCCATCTTGATCAGCAACTGCACTTCACTTACACTCATTTAGTCTGTCGATCGGCTCTCCTTGGTAAGCGTCACTCATAATCCTTCATAACAATATAGAGAATTAATTTAAGAAACTAGAATCATCAGTATTATTACGATGACTTTACCATGCAGATACTTCATCAGACCGTGAACGCCTGAGCCACGCCATCCACGCGGACAACTGCCTCCTGGACGATCAGAACAATTGTATCCGGAAAAGTCCAGCTTACACTTGGAGGGACTATTCGGCCATCCTCTACCTAAACGATGACTTCAGTGGCGGCGAATTTATTTTCGCCAAGACCCAGACGATGGAGAGCATCCAGAGTACAGTTCAACCCAGGTGCGGCAGGATGGTCGGATTCTCGGCCGATGGAAATAATCTCCACGGTGTCCGTGGCATTCTAAGAGGCAAAAGATGCGCCCTGGCCCTCTGGTTCACCCACGACGAGGCTCATGTTGAAACGGAAAGAGTCCTGGCGCGCGCCGTTCTCAGGCGCGTTAGGAATTCTGGATCGGTGACGCGAGACGATGACTTTGACATTCCCATCAGGCACGAGGATATGTTAATAGAGCGTTTCCGGGAGGACAAGACACTTCGTCACTTGCTTAAGAACTGAGTTATTTTTCGAAATACTATTTTTCCAGAAACGCACGCATTGGCCAGCTTTAACGTAATTGAGTGCTTTCTTTTTCCTTTTTTAACGTACCGCTTCTGACGTACAAAATGGTGCTGGTCGCCGGATATACGTTCCTCACGGAAAACATCCCTTTTTAGGATCGTTCCTTAGTCACGTAACCACGTACCTGTTTGGTGATACTGCTTCATGGAAAAAATCATTATCAAAGAACGAGGTTGAAAACAATCCACGTACGATAATGACATCGACGATTGCAAATCGCCACTTAAAAGCATTGCCGTTCGCGAAATTATGACTCGAAGTTTTATATAAAATATCCTAAATTTTTATTAGCACATAGATAATACATGCCAACGAATCGTTAACACAATCTCCTCGATAACACGTGTATAATGTATTACTTCATTCGTATTTATATTATATATAATAGTTATGTATATACACATAGTTTTTACATGCATGGTGCATCGCATCGTTCGAATATCCATCTGGGATAAAAATGCTTGTAAGAGAATAAGTAACACGAGAAGAGAATAAAATTAACACAAATATTAATGCATGAGAATACTTTACTGAGTTTAAGATGAAACTGCATTTATTAACAGAGTTTCCCGAAAAGAATCTACAGATAAAAATTCTGCAGGATATTCGCTCATTACGTCACGCCACGTGTATATATATATATATATGTATGCTATTGAACATATCTCCTTAGTGTGTCCCATTACTATTCTTTGAAAGTCCTGTACACACGATAGTCCTTTGTCTCCTTATCAATTCCTTAATACGCAGAGATTATATTAATCACTCTCGGCTGCCACGAATTTCAAATAAAAGTATCGGAAGCAATTCTTTACTTCGCGTACTGAAATTCAAGTAAATTCCTTTCTCTGCAATTAACTGGATGGACTTTAGTTGATCACGCAACGCCAATAATCGGTCGCTCGATGAGGATCGGTCAGGTAAGAATTGAACGTGAGCATCAACATACTTATGGTTATTTCCATACAAATATTTATTACGAAAATTTATAGTGACATCTGCGTATCACAGGAGAGCTCAGTCGATTAATTTGGGAACCACTCCACAGGCACGTAACTATGAAAGAAAACCTCATCCTGGACGTACGCAACTTTTCACGCAGCAAACGAAGATGACACCGGAAATGACACCGGAATTAATCAGGACGCTATTTATTGTATTTCGTAGAGACCAGTCCACGAGGCACGCTGGCGCGCGCGCCCAAGGTAGGATACAAATAAATACACAAAATGCGCGCGCGCGGCTAAAATATACGGTAGGTCATTTTTGTATTAACTAATTAATAGTTCGTGTGATACGCAGTGCGGATGCTGGGATCATGATCCTGATGAATTCGCAGTTTCGACTAGGAAGACGAATTTCTATGGTAATAACTCTATAGTCCATTTTCCGAGCCTGAAAATATCGACCCGATCAGCAAACGAATGACGTCTCAATCATTCGATTGAAACCAGAATACGGAACGAAGTGGTTCTTTAACTTGATTCGGATCCTCGTTCGGTCGCGCTTTAGGCTATTGTCATATCGAGAATCACCATGGAATTTGGTGGTTCAGAAGGGACTTCACTTACGGACTACAGTAGCTCAAACAAGGCAGACGACATTCTTTAGGATTTTGGAGAACCCTGTCTTGATGCTACGTAACTACTTACGATTACACTCATCCACGCAACTCCTATTGCTCTGCTCCAATCGCACACGTAACTTTATGATTGATGTTTGTTTTTCCTAACGATAGGTAGGTACAGAAGATAGTATCGTGTGTGCCGGACTGTAGAGGAATTGAGTTCTGTTCAGCCTTACAATTAATAATGTTAATAATACATATACAATATATGTATATGTCGATATATACACACAAGTCACGACGTATGCATATACAACTAAATTAAATGGCCGTTTTTTTTCTCGAAATTTTTTTTTTTTTTCGGTATTGCTCGAGTGTAATCCGCAGTAAGTAATGGTTCCTGTCACGAAACAGCCAAAGCAAATATTAATCGAATTGAGTCATGGCGTTGAGCGTCTTCGAGCATCGATTTCGAATCCCACTGTGAATCAGGATGTTAGTGTAACAATAAGGTTAGAAAAGGAATGAATAAGAGACGCTATTAGGGTCCAATGCGCTAATTAGACTACACTATAGATGCGGGGGGGGGCGGTGTAATACTTGGTATTATGAGGATGACGATTTATGATAACGATGATGACGAGTATGGTAATGTTTTATCATAATAACGAATTAAACGGATAAAACGTAGCGTTTAAACGTAGGAGAAATAATTCTCGATGTATTCACTAACGATAGAAAGAAAAAACTAAGCGACTTTTTGAACAGTCAAGAAGGATCTTCGAGTTCCTTTATAATTTTTTTTTGTTGGTATCGAACGAGCATCCTGCTTGAGAGCTCTTAAAAGTATTCCTGCCAGTGGAATTATATGTTGCAAGGGTCCAATTTTTGTTTTCCTTTTCCTTTTGTATAAAAAGATTCCATGCAAGTTTAGGATTTTTTGAACAGATAATACTTTTTCGTATTGCTCGTTGGTTAACGCAATAATAGTAATAATAATGATAATGATGATGATGAAGATAATAATAATAACGACAGCAGTGAGAAGTATGTTTTTTTTTTTTCAAATAGACTAATTTTTTTTCGAGGAATGTTTAAAATGAGTGATTACCACGGATTTCCAAAAGATTTGACCCTTCGCATTCTGACAGCTGTCTGCGCTTATTAAATATACGATAATAACGGAATAATTATATTAAAATAACGAAACGACATAACAATAGTTAAAAATGTTGTACTGTTTTGGGATTGGGATGCATAGTGTAAAACATATCGCAACTCGCTTTGATTGTACATAATGTCAACGGTATGTGAAATCGCGAAAATTGCAGTTAATCGAAAAATATGTGCTGGACACCAAAGGACTTGCGCGATGTTACGATGCCGAATATTTTCGCGCTCGCCGCAGTCTCGTCGATGGTAATAAACTTTAACGTCGCGCATTAACCAAAAATGCGATCTCATTTAATTTAGCCGTTTAGAAAACTGTAAAACGTGCGGGTTACAGAACGTGTCGACATTATACCTCGCGAGAGTGTAAACCGGGCGATTAGAGCCTTCAATTATTATTTACCGTAAAAAGTGTCTCGTGGCCATGCATATTTTCATTCTTAGAACTGCGGTCTCATCCTTGACGTGAAACGTTATTTACAAATAGAGATACCGAGAAAAGCATCCCTTGGGGAAGCATCTCTCGGCATGGAGAACATGACGTTCAGTTACACAAGCCCTTTAATGGTTTCATTTTCTCCGAGGGGGTTCCTCTTATTCTTCTTTTCTTTCCCTCATTAATTATTCGTTACGCCTAATGTGGAAGAAGGGGAAAATGGATCCACATGTTTCAGATTCCAATTAGACCTACCCTCGTGTCAGAGACATACATCTCCCTTTGTCGCACGTTCTCTTTGGTATCCAACAGTCTTCCCGCTATCGATCTACTGTGAACGCAATCGAATAATCGAGACGTGGGCAGTGAGTGAACGAGCGAGCAGCAAGATCAAGTGGGCAAGCTCTCCCATTGGGATGCCCACTCCGGAAGCCATCAGTCCACGGTGGACGGTGGTGCCGCGTAGCGAGTACGCGGATCGGAATCCCCATCGCAGATATATTTTCCTGAAATTGTTAGAAATTGGAAAAATTCGAGGGTAGAATTAAGAAACATGGTACCATCTACGATGAGCTGCACGATGAGGCGCACGATGGCTGACCGGTGATAACGATTTGAGGATAGATTGCGTGACTTACCGGAGACGAATCTGCGTTTTACTAAGCTCAGTCTGTATCCAGGTCCAACTAGCTCGAATTCAACGCCGGATAGCGTAGTCCCTTCGCAATTGAATTGAGTGAATATCGTTCCCTGAGTTCCTGGTCCACGTTCCAGCTCGACTCTTGCTTTAAGAGAACCAACGCCGCTGCCCTCACTGTGCTGCGACAGTTCTGTGAATTTCCAGAGGACGCGATTTGTATCTGGCAACCATTGAGCTGACGGTTTGCTATGGAGATTTTTGAAGCCACCGTCTATCGGGGCAGCTACGTGAAGATTCAGTAGGGGACTCGGCGACGCCATGGCACGGCTGTTGTACTTGTAGTCGATCTGTAATTATCGGCGTAGAATGGACGGTCAGATACCTTTAATTCTTTCTTTGTTTTTTAAAGGGATATCCAGGAGACACTGTGCGTGATATACCTTAATATCCGTATGGGATTGTTCACATTTCCAATAAGCGACCAGTTGAAAGGGACAAGAACCCGCGCCGTCCTTGTTCTTAATTTGGTACTTGAGAATATCCACGTTAAAGTATGATGCTGAAGGGTTTTGTTCAGCCTGCCGCCGTAGCAGCGTGGTTAAGGCACTCATATTGAACTCGAAAATTGTACTATCGATGGTAGACTGCGTGACGTCCCTAAGATAAAGCAATGTAAGCAGTGATTAAAAGTCACTAAACACTGAAGACTAGGAGATTGAGATTTATTTTGAATTTAACTTGAAACACTTACATGCTGACCAGTTTGCTATTGGGTAGCAGTCTCTCCAGTCTATTGCTGTTCCTCACGCGAAAGGAGAGCTTCGCAGGGTTTGGATTATTCGCCAGGACGGCGACGATACCAGCAGGAAACGAAAGCATCATATCCCCACTGAGCTTAACCTGGCATCGGGTCTCATCCGTACCCCGGAAGTACGAATGCACTATTTCGTGGAAGGCCACCGCCAAGGGAATCGTGTCTGCAAGACCTATAGTCAACGGAGACGGTCCTCTGGAAGACCCAACTCCAACGCCGGCCGCACGAAATTCTAAGCTCGCAACACTGTCCGCCCTGGAGATGGTAGCTGGGGACATTCTGCCTCTTGGTGACGGTCCTTCGCCACGACGAGAAGGCGGTCTAGGTATCGCGATCGATCCCGTTGGCGTAGAGGAGGCCGACTGTTTCGGAGGCAGAGCAGGCGTGAAATCGCCCACTTCTGAAAATAGGTCACCTTCCGGAAAACGAGTATGGGAATTCGTAGCAGGTGCCGACTGCGGAGGCGGCTGTTGGGAGACCGGAGATGACGACAAAGGCGGCGGACTCTGAAGAGGAGCGTAAGGATGGCTACCAGTAGGCGTCGAAGCGCTGGACGGCGTGCTGCTGGGATTAAAATTTAGGCCAAGCAAGTCCGAGCTAGGCTTGCCTCCCAATTGTTGAGAAACGGACTGCGACCTTTTCATATGATGATCCGAATCCGTGTTGGATCCGCGGCGACCCTTTTAATAAATAACTCACTCTGGAGACGAAGAATGAAGACGACCTCGAGAATGTTGATGCTGGGGAACTTACCGTCGGTGCTGGTGACAGGGAGAGATTTTCTACAGTGGCCCGTAGCTCGTCGACACTGGCACTGATAGGCGCTCCGCCATTGCTCAGAGGTTTAATCTCCACTCGTAGTAGCTTCTTGTCTTTTTCGTCGTCAGAATCCGTGTCGGAACTTGAGTAGAATACTTTCTCGTTCTCCCAGGGATCCGGTTTCGGCCGTATGCAGAATCCATCCTCGTCGACTTCAGGCGTTGGAGTCTCCGACTTCCTGCTGTCATCCTTGTCCTCTCTAGATGGAAGTCACAATGGAATTCTGGTTAACGTAAAGGATAAATCGACGCTTCCAGCAGGCCCAGTGCAATCGCAAACGTCGTTTACTATACTCGGTGCATTTTTTTTTAAATTTCTCGAGTTATCCCATCGCACTTAATTACGCAACGCTATCGCCTACGAGATACAACATTTTCAAAAAGTCTAAGTGCACTAGGTCTGCTGAGCATGCATTTACTGACAGGTCAGACTTTTCTTCTTTGTTGCTATTCGTTTCCACAGAGTCCTTCTTCTTCTTCGCCTTTTTCTCCTTCCTCTTCTCCCGTCTGCTACGCAGAAACCCTGTCGATCGTACAAATGAATCTCTCTTAGGCATTACAACAGTTAAGTGGACTTTAAACGTACAACAGGAACCAACGCGAAATTCTCTAAAGAGCTCTCGGGTTGCCTGCACTGTTTGCACAGGAAGAAGCTTTTACACAGCCATCGACGCAAACTTCTTTCCACTTACCCGCACAGTAGAATCACTTCAAGCTCAACACTATACTCGATCACGCTCTCCTAAGAAATAGTGTCAATTTTGACAGTGATTTACTTTCCAAGTGTATAGAAGGTAGCGCAACGCTAATTAAACAGCGTACAACAGAAAAAAAGAATAGTAATAGCGACTTCGTCGAATAGTGCAAAATGGATATCGAGCTTATCAATTCTACGTTTTTTTATTTCACTTTCAGCAAAAACCGGCACAGCTTCACGATCCACACCGACGCGTTCCTCTGTTCAAGAAGTTACAACCCGGTACGTTCCCTTCTTATGAAGAGTTTAATATACGAGTGTCGATGTCACATGAATTCGTCATGCGAAACAAACAAGAAATACATGACACTGCTGAAGAGACAGAGAAAGGAGAATAAAATCGTGTAAGAATTGACGTGCAGATAAGAAGGTGTAGTAGTAGTAAAAATAGACAAATTAACAGATAACTGTCAAAAGCAATTAAGAAGAGAGAGAAAAGATTTCCTAGAAAGGAAGTGGAATAGAGAATAGCGATAGAGGAACAGCGTACTTGCACAACACTATAGCAAATTCATTGATACAATTAAAAAAAAAAAAAAAAAAAAACATC